TGTAACCCGAGAACCTACTGTACTAGAAGCCCGGTGCACAGATTCGTGCGCCAGTGGGATTCCTTGGCCTGGTTTGTGGGATTGGGCTGAAACCGGCTCTCAGACATCCCCTGCGGGGTCCCGGATTGCAAGAGGGTGCAGGCCAGATTGAGGGACCCCACTGGTGCACGATCGGGGCCGGGGAGGGATGCAGGTGTTTGGCCAGCCAGGGATGGACCGTGGGAGGGCTCCAGGGTGTGTCTGGCCCGTCTTGCTCATTCCCGATCGGCCAGACTCCAGCAGCAAGCTAACCTACCGGTTGGAGCTTCTGCCCCCTGGTGGTCAGTGCATGTCATAGTGAGTGGTTGAGTGGCCTTAGCATATCATTAGCATATTACACTTTGATTGGTTGAACAGATGACCGGACACTTAGCATATTAGGCTTTTATTATATACTAGAGGCCCGGTGCACAAAAATTTGTGCACTCGGGGGTGGGGGGGAGGTCCCTCAGCCTGGCCTGTGCCCTCTCACAGTCTGGGACCCCTCGGGGGATGACCATCTGCTGGCTGAGGCCTGCTACCTGGGGGATCGGGCCCAAGCTGGCAGTCAGACATTCCTCTGGCAGCCCGGCAGCCCTCGGGGGATGTCCACTTGCCAGTGGGGAGCAGACCTAAGCTGCAGTCGGACATCCTTAGCACTGCTGAGGAGGCGGGAGAGGCTCCCACCACCACCGCTGTACTGGCAGCCATCAGCCTGGCTTGTGGCTGAGCAGACCTCCTCCATGTGGGAGCTCACTGACCACCAGAGGGCAGCTCCTTCATTGAGCGTCTGCCCCCTGGTGGTCAGTGTGTGTCATAGTGACCAGTCATTCCCAGTCTTTCTGTTGTTAGGGTCAGTTTGCATATTACCCTTTTACTATATAGGATAGAGGCCTGGTGCACGGGTCGGGGCCAGTTGGTTTGCCCTGAATGGTGTCCTGGATCAGGGTGGGGGTCCCGCTTGGGTGCCTGGCCAGCCTGGGTGAGGGGCTGATGGCTGTTTTCAGACTGCCCACACCCCCTTCAGGGTTGGGGTCCCCACTGGGGTACCTGGCCAGCCTGGATGAGGGGCTGAGGGCCGTTTTCAGGCGGGCCAAGCCTGCAACCGAAGCTCCCAGTCTCTCCTTTTTTTCTTTATTTTTTTTATTCTGGGATTTATTTACTTTCTGTAATTGAAACTTTGTTGCGGCTCCAGCTCCAGCTGAAAGCAGGTATCTGGGGTTTGTTTAGCTTCTATAATTGCAACATTGTTGCTTAGAGTGCAGCTCAGAGCTGGGCGCCGGCAGACGGGGAACCTTGGCTTCCTCCATCACTGGAGCAAGCAAGCCTCATGTTCGCTTCAGCTGCGTGGCTGCCGGCCGCCATCTTGGTTGGCAGTTAATTTGCATATCACCCTGATTAGCCAATGGGAAGCATAGCGGAGGTATGGTTAATTACCATGTTTGTCTATTATTAGATAGGATGATGATGATAGAGATAGCCAAGATTTGGAAGCAACCTAAGTGTCCATCGATAAATAAATGGATAAAGAAAAAGTGGTATACATATATATATATATATATATATATATATATATATATATATATATAATGGATTATATGACTCAGCCATAAAAGAGAATGAAATCTTGCCATCTGCAACAATCTGGATGGACTTAGGGAATATAATAAGTGAAATGGGTCTGTCAGAGGAAGACAAATTCTATGTGATTTCACTTATATGTGAAATCTAGAAAACAAAATAAATTAATAAACCAAAAATACTCATAGATACAGATAACATTTTGATGGGTTTCCAGATGGGAGAGGCATTGGGGGGCATGGGTGAAAAATGGGAAGGAATTATGATGTGTAAATTGCTAGTTATTGAAACAGTCACAGGTTGTAAAGTACAGTAGTAACTATGTATGGTGTCAGATAGGTACTAGACTTATTGTGGTGATCACTTAGTAAGTTATATTAATATTTAATCAATAGGTTGTATACCTGAAGCTAATATAATATTGTATGTCAACTGTAATTGAAAAGTAAAGAATTATTTTAAAATACCTCAGTAAAATAGGAGAAGGAAATAAGGGAAGAACAGAAATCAGTACAATAGAGTGCAGATATACAGTAGAGAAATTGACAAGGTTAAAAGTCAGATCCTTAAGAAGATAACAGAAATAATATAAGTAAAAGGTATAAAAAGTAACTAATTATTGAAAAAAAGATTCACAAATGATAGATATCAGAAATGAAAAAGGAGACTTAATTCATAACCTACAGATATTAAGAGGATATGAACATTTTATCAATAAATTTGACAACATAGATAAAATGGAAAATTTGATGAAAAATGCACATTACTAAAACTGACACCAGAAAAATATAGGAAAACTTGAAATCCCATGTTTGTTAAAATAATTTAAACCAGTAGTTTAAAACTTTCCCACAAAGGAAATTCCAGGCCTGCCTTGTTTTACTAGACAATGCATTCTTTCAATTTTGAAATGTGGAAATGTATGTTAGACTTAACAAGAAAGATCTGAGCTGGAAAAACAGATTTGGGCCTTATCATATAAGTATGTTATTTATTTATACCTAAGGTAGTGCTTCAAACCATCATTATGTTTGAGATCACCTGGTGTAAGATGAATGAAAAGAGTACATAAGACCAGATAGTAAGAATTTCTAATATGAAACCAGCAGTGGAGACAGAGGGGTAGCATAAAAAGTAAGTAGTAAATCACAAAATGTGTTATAGAAACCAAGAGAAAAGAGTTTCAAGTAGAATGATGTGACTAGTTTATGAAATGTATTTAGAAATCTAGACCTATATAGACAGAGAGACACGACCATTACATTTGGAAAATGAAGGTCTTTATCAATATTTGACAGTCATCATGGTAAAGAATTCTAGAATTTTAGGTTTTACATTGTAGTTATAGGATGGGATGGTCTAGGGGTAGTAAAGAGTGATGTTTCAATTCTTGCACTGGTACTTACTATGTTTGACTTTTGGCAAGCTTCTGTACCTCTCTGTTTACCTATCAATGAAGTGTAGCTTTTACTTGATTCTACTATATTGAGTAATTGATAGAATTGAGTAGTTTATGTATAGTGTTTAACTTAGTGCCTGACATCTTGTCTGCCCTTGGTATGTATTATTTAATATGATGATGATGATGATGGCAATGGCGATGTTTTGGATTTGAAAGTTATTACTTAGTTTTACTAACTTTTATACAAGTGTCAAGAATAAACTGTTTTGTGTACTCACAACTGTAAACCTACTTTTGCCCCACCCTTTACTCAAAGGGTATTTAGGACAAGCTAAGGACCAAGACTTCTGCCTGTTTGCCCCTTTTTCCTGTTCTCAGGTGAACAAAGAAGAATTAGGAAAGGAAATCCCTAAAAGTAGTAGGATGAGCCCAACTGCCTTTTGGACATCAGGGTAGATGACATCATATTAGGCATGTTCTTCATGCCTAATTCTGAGTTAGATCTATTTTTTAAAGCTGAACAAACTTGTAGTGATTCACTCCAAGTTTTGATCCTTCCATCTGGGTTTGGTTATAGCCAAATGCCCAGACTATACATATCAGTCTGGGATTTCCTTCCAGTAAGCTTCTTGCCCTCCCTATCATTCTGTGGGATATTTTAACCCATTTTCTTGTGTTCTATCCCTTCTAACCTCCATCCATGCTTTGGCAGGGTTTTTTACTGCTTATTTACAGTTCTTAAGTACTTACTCAATTTTAAAAAATCTATATGCGGATGATATCCAAATGTGTTTTCTGAAATTTCTATAGGACTCTAGACACATATATCCATCTGCCTACTTGATGTCTGTATGCAGACACAGTATAGTGGTTATGAGTGGTTGTGTTTGAACCTTTGTTCTTCCACTTACTGTGTGATAGGGGCTGAGATAGTTAACCTCTTTATTACTCAGTTTCCTCATCTATAAAATAGGAATAATATTAACTCAAGAAGTTGTTAGGAGAATGAAATGAGCTTAAATAAGACAACACGTGTAAAATGCTTAGAGGAATTTCAACACATAGTAACCTTTTCATAAATGTTACTTGCTATTATAATATCCTTACCATTTTAAACTTAACTTGGACAGAATTGATCTCTTAATCCTTATTTCCTATCTCCACACCTTCTCTTTTCTCTAGTCTTCTCCATATCAGTATATGGCACCTCTATTCACCTAGTTACTCAAACCCCAAATATAGTTGTTAACCCAATTCCCTCATTTTCTCACCATGCCCTAATCCACCAACAAGTCCTTTGTCTTTACCTCCATAACATATCATAAATATGATCACTATTTTTCCTTTCTATTCATACTACCAACGTAGTCCCGTCACTGTCAGCTCTTACCTGGAATGTTACAATAGCTGGTCTCCCTTTTTCTATTCTTTGCACAATTCATTCCCTTCACAGCAACCAAATGGTGTTTAGAAAACACCAGTTAGCTCATGTCATCACCCTTTTAGTGACTTGCCTTTACACTTAAATAAAATCCAGACTCCTAATTCAGGTTTATATAGTCTACATAGCGTATTTATTTGTCTAATCTTTCACAACACTCATTGCCTAGAATACTCCAGCCCTTGCTCTTAATGCTTTTCTCCTAACTTGTTCAAATATTCATCACCTTCGGGTAGTAGATGTTCCTTTTGCTTGGAATGCTGTTTCTGACCTTCTTATGTCTGATTCCTTTTCATCATTCAGCTTTCTTGTCATTTCACATGGTAGTTTTATCAAGTACAATAAAATTGTGGAATATACTTTCTAATTCAAATGTAATATAGAATCTAATAGTTTTAGGATTGAGTGGGACTTTATAGAAGATATTTTGTTCAGTTAGCTACTTAGAACAGAAATAACTTCTATAGTCCTTATTCAATCACTGTTCAAATATGTGAACTGTTATCTTCTTGGTTTAATAATTTTATAAAAAATAACACTGGTATTTTTTTCATATAGGATTTCCGGGAAAAAAATACAGATCATATGCGCCCTGACATTGTAGCTCTTCTGAGAAGTAGCAAAAATGCATTTATCTCTGGGATGATTGGAATTGATCCTGTATCTGTTTTCCGATGGGCGGTTCTCCGAGCCTTTTTCAGGGCTATGGTTGCTTTCAGGGAAGCCGGGAAGAGACATATTCAGAGAAAAACTGGTAAGCAGTAGTATTAGTATTCTACCATGTTTCATTTTATAATTTTTTACTTCTCTAAGGAGACATAATAATCTTATGCCATTCTGTTTTCTTACCATACCCTAACATCATGTTTCAGATATCATTTGTTCTGGTGAACTTCCTATAATTGAATTAAATAGATATGTGATGTATATTTGTTATATGGGTTGTTACTTTTATTAATAAACACCGATAGGAATGAGTGTAAAGCACCTGATATTTAGTAGGCACTCAGTAAAACATTGCTATGCTTTTTAAACAAAAAGTGAAATTTAATTATTATTTAAGTATATAGAATTTGATATTGATATCTTTCTCTGCTTCTTATGTGATAGTTTTTACTAGAAATGAAACAATTTAATGTGGAAGCATAAATTAGGAGTCAGAAAATTAGATGGAGGTAGTGGAGATAGTGGAGATAACCTGACTTAGGTAATCAACCAGATGTCATCTTTTCTCTTGACTGATTTTGCAGCTATTAGCATTATTTCTTGGAGTGCTACTGCTGCCTTTAAAATTGTGATGGTAAACTCAGATAATACATGCAAAGTATCGGTTTATGACTTTTTTTTATTTACTGGTTTTAGAGAGATAGGAAGGGGGGAGAGAGAGAAAGAAAAAGAAACATTGATTTGTTGTTCCACTTATTTATGCATTCATTGTTTGATTCTTGTGTATGCCTTGACCAGGGATCGGACCTACATCCTTGGTGTATTGGCACGATGCTCTAACCAACTGAGCTACCCAGTCAGGGCTATGAAGTGTTAGTCCCCTCTCCTCCCCCCTACCACTTACCCTTAACTCAGTTCATTGGATTTTACTTTGACATTTAGAAATGGTTAAAGCAGGTTTCTTTTTCTGTATGCCTCTTCCTTAAATCATAAAATATCCTGTTTCACATTCTGTGGGAGGGCATCTTCATAAGCCCTTGTTAACTACTGCAATCACACTATTGCCTGCTGTAGTTCTAGCCTTCGATAGACCATTGCTATGTAGTGAGAATTTTCTAATATATATGTAGTCATTTTCTGGCCAAAGTAACTTCAATAGAAGTGTGCTGGGTACACCTGTGTTTTTAGGACTCTGAGACTTATATGGCTTTTTGGCATGTGCACTACCAGTAAAACTTTTAAATTCAGCTTTGATATATTTCAAAAGAATAACTATTTGGGAGGTTTTATTTCTAAAATGAGAGATAAAACTAATGGTATGAGTTTTCATTTTTCAGATTTTCATGTGTGTAAATTGGCCTTTGTAGATAAGGGAGAGTTATAGTTGTGTGTTTTTTTAAGTAAAAGGAATATCTTAAATTTGCTTTGCCTTTTGCAAAGTTATTTCTAAGAAGCTATCTTACAAAAAGGCTTAAGGCAAAGTGTTTTTCTTTTAATTTAAGATATGTTTTATTTATTACAATGGACATCAGTTTTGAAAAATTTAAAGTTGATTAAATATCCTGCTAAGATGTAACTAAGCAAAGGAACATTTCTTCTATTTACTATTACATATATTCTTTTCTAAGAAGATTATTTACATTATATGCTCCTTTTGCATTTAAAATATTATTTGTGGAAGCTGTATGTGTATAATAATTTATACAAAGACAGTCAGTGTTACTAATGATCAAAAGATTGAACCTGTATTACCTCTGCTTTCATAATTTCTGGATTCTTCTAGTTTTCTAATCTAGTTTTTCTTCCTGGCACATTTAGAGGTTTTATATAATAAACTCTCTTTGAAAATTTTTTTATTCTGGGACATAACATGCATACAAAAAAGTGCACACACAAAAAATGTATAGCTCAGTGAATTGTCAGAAACTAAAACACCCTTGTAACTACCACCTAGGTTAAGAAAAAGAATATTACCAACACCCTAGACTTCCCCCTTGGAGAAAGTTTTTAAATTGTACTTTCTATAAAGGAAAAGAAGAGCTATAGGTTATTTGCGTTTTGAGCAATTGACTCAGCAGATATGTTATTGAGAATGATTGTATTACAGTGTATTAGTGCCAGTGTCACAACATTTTTGCTCTTTCCACACCACTTTACCATCTACTATTTTCTGGTGTGTTTGAGGTAAAAGGATACCATAAAATTAGAAATTGTAGCATTGCAAAATAAAAACTAACAGAATAACTAAAAATGGATTAAGTAGAAGATTCAGAACATTTATAAAGACTGTAAATAGTATGCAAACATATTAAAGTGAAACAGGAATTGGAGGTTATTTAAGCAGAAGCAGAATATATGGAAGGCAAAAGGTAACTAAATTCAGATCTTGAATGAGAATAAGAGGTAAAAGATCATATTTCTAATGAAGAAAGAAGATGTAGACTGAAGAAGTACAGTATCACTTCTTTTGAGTCTGTCTTTATAAAAAATTTCAATGGAATCTTAGTTAATTGTCAACAAATATCCTTACAGTGATCCAAAAATCCTGGATTTTAAAAATTATATTTATTTATTTACTTACTATATTTTTATTGATTTTAGAGAGGAAGGGAGAGGGAGAGAGAGATAGAAACAACAATGATGAGAGAGAATCATTGATTGGCTGCCTCCTACACTCTCCACACTGGGGATCGAGGCTGCAACCAGGACCGTGCACCAGGCCTCTATCCTATATAATAAAAGGGTAATATGCAAATTGACCCTAATGGCAGAATGTCCAGAACAACCACTGGACCAGTCACTATGAGGTACACTGACCACCTCTTGGTTCCTGCTCTGATCGCCTGATGGTCACCCGCTGTGGGGGCAGGGCTGGTGAGTGGATGGGAACAACTGACCTCTTGGTCCCTTCCCCCAGTTGTCAAGCACCGATCGCCCGATGGTGAACAGGGAACCCGGGGTGGGTGGCGGCCGGGGGCGGGGCTGGCTGTGGGCAGCTGGGGAAGATGGTCCTGATCGCAGGCCAGGCCTAGGGACTGTACCCACGCACGGATTTCATGCGCTGGGCTTCCAGTACTAGTCTACACTAATAAAAGACAAGATGCAAATTGACCATACCTTTGCTACACCTTAAGCCACACCCACCAGCCAATCAGAGCGACTATATGCAAATTAACCCAACCAAGATGGCGGCCGGCAGCCACGGAGCTGGAGCAAGCAGGAGGCTTGGTTGCCCCAATGATGGAGGAAGCCAAGCTTCCCGCCTGCCGCGGCGGCTCTGAGCTCCACTTAAAGCAACAAAGTTTCAATTATAGAAGGTAAATAAACCCCAGATACCTGCTTTCAGCCGGCTGTGGCCACGGAGCTGGAACGAGCAGGAGACTTCCCTCCCACCCGCCCTGGCTGGCTCTGAGCTCCTCTCAAGGCTACAAAGTTTCAATTATAGAAGGTAAATAAATCCCAGAATAAAAAAAAAAAAAGGAGAGGCTGGGAGCTTCTGTCGCCGGGGGGGCTTGGCCAGCCTGAAAACAGCCCTCAGCCGCTCACCCAGACTGGCCAGGCACCCCAGTGGACCCCCCACCCTAAAGGGGGTGTGGCCAGACTGCAAACAGCCATCAGCCCCTCACCCAGGCTGGCCAAACCTCCATGGGGTGAGGGTCCCCACTGGGGGGGGCTTGACCAGCCTGCAAACAGCCATCAGCCCCTCACCCAGGCTGGCCAGGCACCCCAGTGGGGACCCCTACCCTGATGTGGGTGTGACCAGCCTGCAAACAGCCATCAGCCCCTCACCCAGGCTGGCCAGGCACCCCAGTGGGGACCCCCACCCTGAAGGGGGTGTGACCAACCTGCAAATGCCCCTCAGCCCCTCACCCAGGCTGGCCAGGCACCTCAGCAGTACCGCCACCCTGATCCGGGACACCCTTCAGGGCAAACCAGCCGGCCCCCACCCGTGCACCAGGCCTCTATCCTATATAATAAAAGGGTAATATGCAAACTACCCTAACAGCAGAATGACTGGGAATGACTGGTCACTATGACACACACTGACCACCAGGGGGCAGACGCTCAATGCTGGAGCTGCCCCTGGTGGTCAGTGCGCTCCCACAGGGAGAGCTCTGCTTAGCCACAAGCCAGGCTGATGGCTGCCAGTACAGCAGTGGTGGTGGGAGCCTCTCCTGCCTCCTCAGCAGTGCTAAGGATGTCCGACTGCAGCTTAGGTCTGCTCCCCGCTAGCAAGTGGACATCCCCCGAGGGCTGCCGGGCTGCCAGAGGGATGTCTGACTGCCAGCTTGGGCCCAATCCCCCCAGGGAGCAGGCCTAAGCCAGCATGTGGACATCCTCTGAGGGGTCCCAGACTGCAAGAGGGCATAGGCTGGTCTGAGGGAACCCCCCCTGCGAGTGCACAAATTTTTGTGCACCAGGCCTCTAGTATATACATAAAATCCTAAGTGACTATTATGACTGAATGACTTGAATGACCAGAATGACTGGTCAACCAGTCACTATGATGCGCACTGACCACCGGGGGGCAGACGCTCAATGCAGGAGCTGCCCCCTGGAGGTCAGTGCACTCCCACAGCCAACCTCCCCCGGCCGACTGGCCAACCTCCCCCGGTCCCTCCCTGCAGCCAACCTCCCATGGTCCCTTCCCCACGGCTGGTCCCTCCCCCTGGCTGGCCAGCCAACCTCCCACGGTCCCTCCCCCTGGTCTCCTCCTGGCCGACAGGCCCAGATTGGCCTGGCCCCACTCGGGACTGGGCGAGGCAGCCTGATTGACCCTGCTAGCTGGCCAGGCCTAGGGACCCCACCCATGAATGAATTCGTGCACCGGGCCTCTAGTTAGAAATAAAAAAGCCACCATCTTAACTGCCACCACAAATGTGAAAGCAGGACCTAGGACATTAGTAGAAAAAAGATGTGTTCCTAAGCCTTCATCCCAGTTTGGAGAAAAAAGTCAGAACCTGATGATGAGCTGCTGTTTGATTTTCTTAATAGTTCACAGAAGGAGCCTGCAGAAGGGTGGAAATAAAAAAGGGGCAAGACACTGGTGCTTCATTGTTCTCAGACAAGTGTCAGAGCTATAAACAC